TTACAACGGGGACACTTGACACCTCTTCATCAGATTCGACAATGGAAACTATCGTCGAAACAACATTAGTAGATTCTTCTACAGAAGTTGTAACAGAACTGACTACAAAGGATTCTTCATCTATATTAACTGACTCTACCGATATGACAACAGGGATACTTCACACCTCTTCATCAGATTCCACAATGGAAACTATCGTTGAAACAACATTTGTAGATTCTTCTACAGAGGTTGTAACAGAACTGACTACAAAGGATTCTACATCTTTTTCAACTGACTCTACTGATATTACAACAGGGACACTTAAAACCTCTTCAACACATTCCACAATAGAAACTATCGTTGAAACAACATTTGTAGATTCTTCTACAGAAGTTGTTACAGAACTGACTACAAAAGATTCTACATCTTTCTCAACTGACTCTACCGATATAACAACAGGGATACTTGACACCTCTTCGTCAGATTCCACAATATTTGTTGATTCTACTTCTGATATCGCTACAGAACCAACTACAGAGGAAGCTACATCTATATCAACTGGCTCTACTGATTATACTACAGGGACGCATGACACTACTTCCTTAGATGCAACAAGTGAAACTTTGGTTGTAACAACTTTTGTTGATTCTACTACAGAAGTTGTTACAGAACTAACTACAAAGGATTCTACATCTTTTTCAACTGACTCTACTGATATTACAACAGGGACACGTGAAACCTCTTCAACAGATTCCACAATGGAAACTATCGTTGAAACAACATTTGTAGATTATACTACAGAAGTTGTTACAGGATTGACTACAGAGGAAGCTACATCTATATCAACTGGCTCCACTGATTATACTACAGGGACGCTTGACACTACTTCCTTAGATCCAACAACGGAAACTATAATGGGGACAACTTTTGTTGATTCTTCTACAGAAGTTGTTACAGAACTAACTACAAAGGATTCTACATTTTTCTCAACTGACTCTACCGATATGACAACAGGGACACTTGACACCTCTTCATCAGATTCCACAATGGAAACTATCGTTGAAACAACATTCGTAGATTCCTCTACAGAAGTCGTTACAGAACTGACTACAAAGGATTCTACATTTTTCTCAACTGACTCTACCGATATGACAACAGGGACAATTGACACCTCTTCAACAGATTCCACAACAGAAACTATACTAGAAACAACATTTATAGATTATACTACAGAAGTTGTTACGGGATTGACTACAGAGGAAGCTACATCTATATCAACTGGCTCCATTGATTATACTACAGGGACGCATGACACGACTTCCTTAGATCCAACAACGGAAACTATAATGGGGACAACTTTTGTTGATTCTTCTACAGAAGTTGTTACAGAACTAACTACAAAGGATTCTACAACTTTCTCGACTGACTCTACTGATATTACAACAGGGACACTTGAAACCTCTTCATCAGATTCCACAATGGAAACTATCGTTGAAACAACATTTGTAGATTCCTCTACAGAAGTCGTTACAGAACTGACTACAAAAGATTCTACATCTTTTTCAACTGACTCTACAGACTCTACAGATTCCACAATGGAACCTATCCTTGAAACAACATTTGTTGATCCTACTACTGAAATCGCTACAGAACCAACTACAGAGGAAGCTACATCTATATCAACTGGCTCTACTGAATATACTACAGGGATGCGTGACACTATTTCATTAGATTCCACAATGGAAACTAGAGTGGGGACAACTTTTGTTGATTTTACTACTGAAATCTCTACAGAACCAACTACAGAGGAAGCTACATCTATATCAACTGGCTCTACTGATAATACTACAGGGACGCGTGACACGACTTCCTTAGATGCAACAATGGAAACTTTGGTTGTAACAACTTTTGTTGATTCTACTACCGAAATCGCTTCAGAACCAACTACAGAGGAAGCTACATCTCTATCAACTGGCTCCACTGATTATACTACAGGGACGCATGACACTATTTCCTTAGATGCAACAAGTGAAACTTTGGTTGTAACAACTTTTGTCGATTCTACTACAGAAGTTGTTACAGAACTAACTACAAAGGATTCTACATCGTTTTCAACTGACTCTACTGATATTACAACAGAGACACTTGACACCTCTTCATCAGATTCCACAATGGAAACTATCGTTAAAACAACATTTCTAGATTCCTCTACAGAAGTCGTTACAGAACTGACTACAAAGGATTCTACGACATTTTCAACTTACTCTACTGATATTACAACGGGGACACTTGAAACCTCTTCAACAGTTTCCACAACGGAAACTATAGTGGAAACAACATTTATAGATTATACTACTGAAATCTCTACAGAACCAACTGCAGAGGAAGCTACATCTTTTTCAACTGACTCTACTGATATTACAACAGGGACATTTGATACCTCTTTAACAGATTCCACAATGGAAACTAAAGTAGCGACAACTTTTGTTGATTCTACTACTGAAATCGCTACAAAACCAACCACAGAGGAAGCTACATTTATATCAACTGGTTCTACTGATTATACTATAGGGACGCGTGGCACTACTTCCTTAGATATAACAATGGAAAATTTGGTTGAAACAACTTTTGTTGATTCTACTACAGAAGTTGTTACGGGACTAACTACAAAGGGTTCTACATCTTTTTTAACTGACTCTACTGATATAACAACAGGGACACTTGAAACCTCTTCAACAGATTCCACAATGGAAACTGTGGTTGAAACAACATTTGTAGATTATACTACAGAAGTTGTTACAGGATTGACTACAGAGGAAGCTACATCTATATCAACTGGCTCCACTGATTCTACGACAGGGACGCTTGACACTACTTCCTTAGATCCAACAACGGAAACTATATTGGGAACAACTTTTGTTGATTCTTCTGCAGAAGTTGTTACAGAACTAACTACAAAGGATTCTACAACTTTCTCAACTGACTCTACTGATATTACAACATGGACACTTGACACCTCTTCATTAGATTCCACAATGGAAACTAGAGTTAAAACAATATTTGTAGATTCCTCTACAGAAGTCGTTACAGAACTGATTACAAAAGATTCTACATATTTTTCAACTGACTCTACAGATATTACAACAGGGAGACTTGACACCTCTTCATCAGATTCCACAATGGAACCTATCCTTGAAACAACATTTGTTGATTCTACTACTGAAATCGCTACAGAACCAATTACAGAGGAAGCTACATCTATATCAACTGGCTATACTGATTATACCTCAGGGTCGCGTGACACGACTTCCTTAGATGCAACAATGGAAACTGTGGTTGTAACAACTTTTGTTGATTCTACTACCGAAATCGCTACAGAACCAACTACAGGGACGCGTGACACTACTTCCTTAGATGCAACAAGTGAAACTTTGGTTGAAACAACTTTTGTTGATTCTACTACAGAAGTTATTACAGAACTAACTACAAAGGATTCTACATCTTTTTCAACTGACTCTACTGATATTACAACATGGACACTTGACACCTCTTCACCAGATTCCACAATGGAAACTATCGTTGAAACAACATGTGTAGATTCCTCGACAGAAGTCGTTACAGAACTGACTACAAAGGATTCTACATCTTTTTCAACTGACTCTACTGATATTACAACAGGGACACTTGAAACCTCTTTAACAGATTCCACAACGGAAACTTTAGTGGAAACAACATTTATAGATTATACTACAGAAGTTGTTACAGGATTGACTACAGAGGAAGCTACATCTATATCAACTGGCTCCACTGATTATACTACAGGGACGCGTGACACTATTTCATTAGATTCCACAATGGAAACTAGAGTGGGGACAACTTTTGTTGATTTTACTACTAAAATCTCTACAGAGCCAACTACAGAGGAAGCTACATATTTATCAACTGGCTCTACTGATTATACTTCAGGGACGCGTGACACGACTTCCTTAGATGCAACAATGGAAACTTTGGTTGTAACAACTTTTGTTGATTCTACTACCGATATCGCTACAGAACCAACTACAGAGGAAGCTACATCTATATCAACTGGCTCCACTGATTATACTACAGGGACGCTTGACACTACTTTCTTAAATCCAACAACGGAATCTATAATGGGGACAACTTTTGTTGATTCTTCTACAGAAGTTGTTACAGAACTAACTACAAAGGATTCTACAACTTTCTCAACTGACTCTACTGATATTACAACATGGACACTTGACACCTCTTCATCAGATTCCACAATGGAAACTATCGTTGAAACAACATTTGTAGATTCCTCTACAGAAGTCGTTACAGAACTGACTACAAAAGATTCTACATATTTTTCAACTGACTCAACAGATATTACAACAGGGACACTTAAAACCTCTTCATCAGATTCCACAATGGAACCTATCCTTGAAACAACATTTGTTGATTCTACTACTGAAATCGCTACAGAACCAACTACAGAGGAAGCTACATCTATATCAACTGGCTCTACTGATTATACTACAGGGACGCGTGACACTATTTCATTAGATTCCACAATGGAAACTAGAGTGGGGACAACTTTTGTTGATTTTACTACTAAAATCTCTACAGAGCCAACTACAGAGGAAGCTACATCTATATCAACTGGCTCTACTGATTATACTACAGGGACGCGTGACACGACTTCCTTAGATGCAACAATGGAAACTTTGATTGTAACAACTTTTGTTGATTCTTCTACTGAAATCTCTACAGAACCAACTACAGAGAAAGCTACATCTATATCAACTGGCTCTACTGATTATACTACAGGGACGCGTGACACGACTTCCTTGGATGCAACAATGGAAACTTTGATTGTAACAACTTTTGTTGATTCTTCTACTGAAATCTCTACAGAACCAACTACAGAGGAAGCTACATCTATATCAACTGGCTCCACTGATTATACTACAGGGACGCTTGACACTACTTCCTTAGACCCAACAACGGAATCTATAATGGGGACAACTTTTGTTGATTCTTCTACAGAAGTTGTTACAGAACTAACTACACAGGATTCTACAACTTTCTCAACTGACTCTACTGATATTACAACATGGACACTTGACACCTCTTCATCAGATTCCACAATGGAAACTATCGATGAAACAACATTTGTAGATTCCTCTACAGAAGTCATTACAGAACTGACCAGAAAAGATTCTCCATCTTTCTCAACTGACTTTACCGATATGACAACTGGGATACTTGACACCTCTTCAACATATTCCACAACGGAAACTATAGTGAAAACAACATTTATAGATTATACTACAGAAGTTGTTACAGGATTGACTACAGAGGAAGCTACATCTATATCAACTGGCTCTACTGATTATACTACAGGGACGCGTGACACTATTTCATTAGATTCCACAATGGAAACTAGAGTGGGGACAACTTTTGTTGATTTTACTACTAAAATCTCTACAGAGCCAACTACAGAGGAAGCTACATCTATATCAACTGGCTCTACTGATTATACTACAGGGACGCGTGACACGACTTCCTTAGATGCAACAATGGAAACTTTGATTGTAACAACTTTTGTTGATTCTTCTACTGAAATCTCTACAGAACCAACTACAGAGAAAGCTACATCTATATCAACTGGCTCTACTGATTATACTACAGGGACGCGTGACACGACTTCCTTGGATGCAACAATGGAAACTTTGATTGTAACAACTTTTGTTGATTCTTCTACTGAAATCTCTACAGAACCAACTACAGAGGAAGCTACATCTATATCAACTGGCTCCACTGATTATACTACAGGGACGCTTGACACTACTTCCTTAGACCCAACAACGGAATCTATAATGGGGACAACTTTTGTTGATTCTTCTACAGAAGTTGTTACAGAACTAACTACACAGGATTCTACAACTTTCTCAACTGACTCTACTGATATTACAACATGGACACTTGAAACCTCTTCATCAGATTCCACAATGGAACCTATCCTTGAAACAACATTTGTTGATTCTACTACTGAAATCGCTACAGAACCAACTACAGAAGAAGCTACATCTATATCAACTGGCTCTACTGATTATTCTACAGGGACGCATGATACCTCTTCATCAGATTCCACAATGGAAACTATCGTTGAAACAACATTTGTAGATTCGTCTACTCAAGTTGTTACAGAACTAACTACAAAGGATTCTACATCTTTTTCAACTGACCCTACTGATATTACAACAGGGACACTTGATACCTCTTCAACAGATTCCACAATGGAAACTAAAGTGGCGACAACTTTTGTTGATTCTACTACTAAAATCTCTACAGAACCAACTACAGAGGAAGCTACATCTATATCAACTGGCTCCACTGATTATACTACAGGGACGCGTGACACTATTTTATTAGATTCCACAATGGAAACTAGAGTGGGGACAACTTTTGTTGATTTTACTACTGAAATCTCTACAGAACCAACTACAGAGGAAGCTACATCTCTATCAACTGGCTCTACTGATTATACTACAGGGACGCGTGACACGACTTCCTTAGATGCAACAATGGAAACTTTGATTGTAACAACTTTTGTTGATTCTTCTACTGAAATCTCTACAGAACCAACTACAGAGAAAGCTACATCTATATCAACTGGCTCCACTGATTATACTACAGGGACGCTTGACACTACTTCCTTAGACCCAACAACGGAATCTATAATGGGGACAACTTTTGTTGATTCTTCTACAGAAGTTGTTACAGAACTAACTACACAGGATTCTACAACTTTCTCAACTGACTCTACTGATATTACAACATGGACACTTGACACCTCTTCATCAGATTCCACAATGGAAACTATCGTTGAAACAACATTTGTAGATTCCTCTACAGAAGTCATTACAGAACTGACCAGAAAAGATTCTCCATCTTTCTCAACTGACTTTACCGATATGACAACTGGGATACTTGACACCTCTTCAACATATTCCACAACGGAAACTATAGTGAAAACAACATTCATAGATTATACTACAGAAGTTGTTACAGGATTGACTACAGAGAAAGCTACATCTATATCAACTGGCTCCACTGATTATACTACAGGGACGCTTGACTCTACTTCCTTAGATCCAACAACGGAAACTATAATGGGGACAACTTTTGTTGATTCTACTACAGAAGTTATTACAGAACTAACTACGGAGGAAGCTACATCTATACCAACTGGCTCTACTGATTATACTACAGGCATGCACGATACCTCTTCATCAGATTCGACAATGGAAACTCTCGTTGAAACAACATTTGTAGATTCTTCTTCAGAAGTCGTTACAGAACTAACTACAAAGGATTCTACAACTTTCTCAACTGACTCTTCTGATATGACAACAGGGACACTTGAAACCTCTTCAACAGATTCCACAATGGAAACTATCCTTGAAACAACATTTGTTGATTCTACGACTGCAATCGCTACAGAACCAACTACAAAGGAAGCTACATCTATACCACCTGGCTATACTGATTATTCTACAGGGACGCATGATACCTCTTCATCAGATTCCACAATGGAAACTATCGTTGAAACAACATTTGTAGATTCGTCTACTCAAGTTGTTACAGAACTAACTACAAAGGATTCTACATCTTTTTCAACTGACCCTACTGATATTACAACAGGGACACTTGATACCTCTTCAACAGATTCCACAATGGAAACTAAAGTGGCGACAACTTTTGTTGATTCTACTACTAAAATCGCTACAAAACCAACTACAGAGGAAGCTACATATTTATCAACTGGCTCTACTGATTATACTACAGGGACGCGTGACACCACTTCCTTAGATGCAACAATGGAAACTTTGGTTGAAACAACTTTTGTTGATTCTACTACAGAAGTTGTTACGGGACTAACTACAAAGGATTCTACATCTTTTTCAACTGACTCTATTGATATAACAACAGGGACACTTGAAACCTCTTCAACAGATTCCACAATGGAAACTAAAGTTGAGACAACTTTGGTAGATTCCAATACAGATGTTGTTACAGGATTGACTACAGAGGAAGCCTCATCTAAATCAGGTGAATTCACAGATTATACTACAGGGACGCGTGACGCTACTTCCTTAGATCCAACAACGGAAACTAGAGTGGGGACAACATTTATAGATTCTACTACGATGACAACAGCCTTAAGCTCAACGGAAACGACGATTGCAACAACACAGGATTCCAAAGAAACAACGATCGAAACAACCGAAGGAACCACAGAAACGACGATTGAAACTACCGAAGGAACCCCAGAAACGACGATTGAAACAACCGAAGGAACCATAGAAATGGCGATTAAAACAAACGAAGGAACCACAGAAATGGTGATTGAAACAACCCAAGGAACCACAGAAACGACGATTGAAACAACCGAAGGAACCACAGAAACGACGATCGAAACAACCGAAGGAACCACAGAAACGACGGTTGAAACAACCGAAGGAACCACAGAAACCATGATTGAAACAACCGAAGGAACCACAGAAACGACGATTGAAACAACGGAAGGAACCACAGAAATGACGATCGAAACAACCCAAGGAACCACAGAAACGACGATCGAAACAACCCAAGGAAACACAGAAACGACGATTGAACCAACCCAAGGAACCACAGAAACGACGATTGAAACAACCGAAGGAACCACAGAAACAACGATCGAAACAACCGAAGGAACCACAGAAACGACGATTGAAACAACCGAAGGAACCACAGAAACGACGATTGAAACAACGGAAGGAACCACAGAAATGACGATCGAAACAACCCAAGGAACCACAGAAACGACGATCGAAACAACCCAAGGAAACACAGAAACGACGATTGAAACAACCCAAGGAACCACAGAAACGACGATTGAAACAACCGAAGGAACCACAGAAACAACGATCGAAACAACCGAAGGAACCACAGAACCGACGATTGAAACAACTGAAGGAACCACAGAAACAACGATCGAAACAACCGAAGGAACCACAGAACCGACGATTGAAACAACTGAAGGAACTACAGAAACGACAATTAAAACAACCAAAGGAACCACAGAAATGACGATTGAAACAACCGAAGGAACCACAGAAACGAAGATTGAAACAACCGAAGGAACCACAGAAACGACGATTGAAACAACCGAAGGAACCACAGAAACGACGATCGAAACAATCGAAGGAACCACAGAAACGAAGATTGAAACAACAGAAGGAACCACAGAAACGACGATTGAAACAACGGAAGGAACCACAGAAATGACGATCGAAACAACCCAAGGAACCACAGAAACGACGATCGAAACAACCCAAGGAAACACAGAAACGACGATTGAAACAACCCAAGGAACCACAGAAACGACGATTGAAACAACCCAAGGAACCACAGAAGGAGAATCTTCTTCTCAGTCTACATTTCTACCAAGTAAGATTTAAAGAATATAAATTGATAAGCCTAGAATGTTTGATTATCTGTCATAAGGTGATCAGATTTTCTCATTGAGTCAGATATGAATATAATCAAATTCGTTTCGAACAACCTTTTTAAATATTTATTCCTCCATACCAAAAAAGAGAAGAAATGTGTTAAAGTTTGACACAAAATGATTATAGTCAATAATATTTCATATTTTTAGAGCGCATGATGAAAATGTCTATCTTTTGTAGAGTCAAAATGTGAAACATTTAACTTAATACAACATATGAGTAAGCGCAAATGTTAATTTTTACTACATGAACAGTGGACAAAGCATGTTATTCTGTATTTGAATTATGTATATTAATCTGGTGGCTTCATAGTTTAAGTATAAATTTCCTTAATGTTTTTAATTGGTAGGTTTGAGCACTTGTGGGGCAACAACCTGCGGCGTGAACGAGCTATGTGATGGATCCCAAAACGCTCATCAATGTACATGTTATCCAGGCACGGAGATTACTACCGACAACACATGTATAGGTAAACTAAACTAACTTATACTTTCTCTTCCACACTGTCATTTATTCAGGCCATTCAATGTCTCCGTCACAAACGATAGATCGAACTACATTTACTCGATAACAGTGGTTTTAAATGCTACTAATAATAATATTGGAAATGTAACCCTATATTGGGTCAGCTGTGCCATACAGAATTGGCGCACGTATGGGAGAGCAGAGTATAAGTTCAAGGATACTTTATAGGAAAAGGGGCGATGCCTAGGATTCTCACAGATCAAATTTATGATTTTTGTCGGTGTTCAATGTAGTTAGTAACTTCAATGTAGTCCAACTGCATTATTTGAAGTTGCTGTAAGAACTGCCATTCACTTATCCGTGAATCGAAACATTGCCAATCACTGGCTAAAGCAGTTTAGGAAAACTTTGAGCACACATAATATAATTGCATCCCTATCCTGTCTGATAAAACATAATCCTGGAATTTTCAAAAATATTGTTGATAATAGATCGGGAACTGAAATGACATTTCTTCACTTTTTGATATCATTCCCACTCTATTCCTATATAAAATTCATCAATTATTGTACGAACGAAATGCTTACGTAAGTCATAAAATATGGAGCCGAGTTTTGATGGATCTTTCCGTAGTTGGCTCCTATGTTAAATTGTAAATATGTGTAAGCGTGCTCGTGTGTGTGAAGGATGTTTTACTGCCAAATTGGAGAATCTTTGCAGAATGCATCATGCAACTTTATAAGAAACGTCACAATTTTGAACTAAAATCGTTTCAATTTTCTTGTTATTAAACAGCGTCGTGTGACAGCAGATGTGACTACCTCACAGAAACATGTAAAGAAGGAGAGTGCAGATGTAGACCAGGCACACAGAGGGATTACTCCGGAACATGCACAAGTAAAACTACTTTGTTTGAAATATATCCTAATCTTAATGCAGTAAAAAAAAATATATTTATATTACTGAGTGGTATACCAAGAAAATATAGCGCCAAAGGTAATTGCTGATACTATGCCCTTGTCAAAGTGGGAAATGAGATGCTATATAGGGTGGTCCTTAAACAACGCACTAGCACACCTTCAATATTACATGGCAAATCTAAACGGTAGCAGTATTAGGGGATATTGTCGGAATAAATGTAGTACAAAATTTTCCAAAATGTTGTAGACACGTTAATCATTATATGTATGTAGCTTCAGAAATGGTATTATGCCTCAGCATTGGGCAAGCTGTAATAAACATAATATAGGACACAAACATCCTATTCCACTCAAATTTATCTTTTCCCCAGGATTTTAATGACTTGTTAAATACTGAATTGAAATTAAACGAATGAAACTGGCTAAATTTGAACTTACTCCTTGCGCCACAACATGCTCCCCTTAACAAAAACCTCTCAACCAAATTAGTACATCTTGGTATACGTTTTTCACGTGAACACGTTATTATTTCTTTGGTACCAGTGAATTTCACCAAACATTATAAAAAGTATGCTTGCTCGTTTTTTGACCACCAAGTATAATCATGTCTTGCAATACTAATATATTTGTAGTCCTAGTAAGTTTAGCCCATTCCCCCCCCCCCCCCATTTAAAGGTAAAATAGATGACAACCAAACTGCTTATTCTCTACCTCTCTGCATGTCTGACTGTTACTGCTTACAATAATTATAATAAAAATAAAGGTTAATAATAAAAATGACAACAATACTACTAGTGCTATTACTGCCAATAATGATCATAATGATAATCAAAATTATACATTTGCCCGGTTTGAGATACCAACCTTGGGTCACTGTTAGAGTTAGAATGTAAACAAGTTATGATCCAGTGATAGTGTGAGTTCAATAAATGCATTCATAAATGAATTCTCTGTGTGTCTAATTTTCCTCGTTTGTTAATTGCAGGAGTATGGACTTTCCGATTCAGAATAAGAATCTTTGAAATAGCCGGAGTTGATGCTAGCTTTGACAGCAGTTATCTAGACCCCTCTAGTAATAGCTACATCATCTTATCCGAACTGATTCATCAATGCGTAAGTAACTTATCTGAATCTAATGCCATAGTCACAACTCACCGTGCATCTTTTTGCACGTATATGTCTGCGCTGCAATTCTGGTCTAAGGCCAACTCCAGCAATTCGTACGTACTTCTTACGATTCTCTGTGAGTACCTTGCACCCTTACAAACACCCCCTTAACCTGCAAAAACCCTTGAGGTTAGTGCACTCGAAATCAACGTATATACCTTGCCACTGTTGTGCTATGTATAACGGCACCGTATGGCTATGACATGAAAGTAGCGCTACGATGCTCGCACGAAGTCCTTGCGATGTTTGCAGAAAGGGGCAACGGCTTCAAAAACGTAGCCACACACACATGTTATTGGTCATGCCTTTGAAATGTGCAGACTTGTACTTCCGACGCAAGTATTTTCTACGAAATCCGTCGTAGACTAGATGCACAGAAGGGCAAGGCAATTTGTGACCATGGCAACGGGCTAGCCACAGCACCGTCGAGTGGTTTAAGGCCCTTGACTTGGAGATGCGAAGGTCGAGGGTTCGAATGCCGACACGTCACTAACATCCTTTGGCAAGATATTAACCTGCACTTGCTACTCTCCACCCAGGTGTTAAATGGGATACCTGGTAGGATGCGACCGTCATTGTTGGTCAAACAGTTTTTGAGCGTCATGTACCGCCTGGCTGGAATGCTCCCCAGGGAGTGGAGATTGTGAACACATTTTTTGCGGGCAAGCACTGAATGACCAGGTTAAATGTACATTTGTATTAAAAGCGCTTAGAGACATTTTTATTAAGCGCTATATAAATATTAAATATTATTACTATTATTATTAACTTTATCGAATGAAGGATCTCCGTAATTAAGATGATTGCGATAATCATGGCGATGATAGCTTTGTGAAAAGCACCGGTATACGTCTATGCTGGGCATTCATGTGAATAGCTCTTTGTACAATGTTAGAATGTCTCAACAGTTTTTTGTTTGTTGTTGAAATAAATCTTTATTCAGATAAAATCATGGATAACAGCGTAGTACATAAATATTCATAACAAAGCACTTAATCACATGTATAAATGAGGTCAAATAAAATTATATCTATATTTACTTGATAGCAGATTTTAAATTAGTAATTGTCTTCTTTCACTTAATAATATTCAAATTCGTTGTCTTAGTTTTGTTTTCCTCTACTTCTATTTTGTATTTCAACATTAACAACAATATTTGCTTATTATTTTCGTCACTACATTTTTATTAAATTGAATTCCAACACTTATAGATTGCAAATAATGCAAATAAAGCATAATGAAGTAATAAATCAATATCTGTAACATTTTCTTTTGCGTCATGAAAACCATATACAACACAAATGGGTGAGAATTTAAAATCTTTACAGAAGGTCTCAGCAGTTAATGCTCTTAATCTTAAAGGAGACATAACATTTGTTTAATGTAACCGTTATGACTATGAATTGTTCATCTTTTCTCTCTCTAGATGTTCAACCTGTTTCATCCTATCACTCGGAGCGTCGTAACAACGACGATTGTTTCCTATTCAGAAGGGAGTATATGGGCTGTATATGATGAGCATTTAAACGCATCGTCAACCGCATCCAATCTCCAGACCATGCTGCTATCAGAGATACAAGATAATAGCTACTTTCTCTATGCAGACAACGACGCAAATCTGACACTTAGCACAAGTGAAGAGGATGTTAGTGTGAATGGTGAGTTATACAGAAATAAAACCTGATTATAAAAACCATATGTCCATGAATACCATCTTTTGATAAAGACCATCTACATTATAGAGACCGCATGTTCTGTGTTTCTGTTGAATCTTGATATTTATTGAGGCAATATACGAAAGTAATCTGTACATAAAGACAACCTACCAAAGAAGACAACTTTTATTGAATCCCCTGAGCGGTCATTATTAACGTTGTAATAGCTTTGTTTTCTTTACCCGGAAATTCTTACCAAAGTGTCGTGGATGAGTGGATACGTCGCCGGACTGTCGGTCACAAGGTCCGTGGTTCGGGTCCCGCCGCGCCACTAATGTCCTTTGGCAAGACATTGATCTATATTTGCCACTCTCCACCCAGGTGTTAATTGGGTACCGGTAGGAAGACTCCTTGAAATGCTGTGAGCGTCGAAATCGGCAGCCTAGCATAGCCGGGTAATGTTGGAGCGCCTTGAGGACCCTGCAAGGTCGATACGTGCGCTATATAAGAATCCAATATTATTTGTATTATTTGTATTATTATTACTGAAATAATGTTCAAACCGCTTGCTCACCTTCACTCCATGGGTGATGGGCGCAATGTTTTGCCTACACTGATGTTTGCTTCTTCCTCCCGACCCGCAATACTGAATGTTAGGCATACCTACCTTTGCCGGGGAAAGAATTGCAGTGGCCTGGGGAAGAGCGCTACATGTATTGATATTTACTCTGGGTTACTAGACCAAATGAAATAAGCACGGCTTGTATTATGAAAGCATTTGGACGTATAATAATATTAATAATATTCCGAGTTAATATTGCGCATAATTAGTACATCAAATATGTCTCTAAGCGCTTTACAGATATATAAGGATTGTACTATTCGGACACCATGTGGAGACACGACAATTATTGATTATTCAATGATGTGATGTTCTGTTTTATCAAACAGTAATTGACGAATGCTTGCTCGACGAGGATAATGATTGTTCTGAGAATGCAGAATGTATTGATCTGGACGATGCCGGTGGTTTTAACTGTACATGTAATACTGGATATGATGACCACATGCCTCAGCTACCGGGCAGATTATGCTCTCTGAGTAAGTAGCAAGATAAATGACTAAATGTTCTGTTTCACTTTTTTAATTGATCGCAAAGATATTCAAGAAATAGCCCCCTTATCTGACTAAACTTAAATCAATGTTAGAAATAAAACTTTGAATTGATTCAAGCAATGCTGGCATGGTAGTCTGCATGATGGTCTGCACGTCGATTGCTACGTTGGGGCGTCTGTGCAGTATCTTCAAGAGGAGCCAAGACAAGCTGAAAGGACACGAAATCAGCTTAAGGGCCTTTTTGATACTCCATTGTAATTTCCAGATGATGTTACATGTCCTCGTCATGTTCACATATTTCTAGAATGTGACATACGAGGCTATTGCAGTTACTCCGGTCAAGAAACGAAAAAGGAAACAATCAATGTCGCATTATGATATGTATATGTCTATACAAAAAAGAGAACTCATATATACAACCGGAATATTAAACGACGAATGATTCATTATGTTGTTATTAGTTTGTACAGCACTTAGTTTTAAACTACCATTGGTAGTCAATTTCATATCTGCTTATCATTTACTGTTATTGTTTCTGCAGTTGTTACAAACGATACAGTGGATATGACAGAACTTATCACTACACAATACATCACCACCGTCTCGGACCCAGGCTCCAGCCCATTCGGTAATATTCATTTTCAAAGCTCTTTTCATCGAAGTATATACATTTTAATAGTGACGAAGAAGGAAGTCGAGTGAATCAGCAAGAGAGAAAGTGAGAAAGAGAGAGGGAGAGAGAGAAAGAGAGAGAGAGAGAGATGAATAGAAACAGAGAAGGCAGACGCAGAGAGGAATGGAGAGAGACAGAGAGATAGATAATATGGCAATTTTTCCTAATAATTCGAAAGCTTGATGATACATGGCTATTATTGCAAGGGCGCCATCCAGAGTCCTTCTGAATGAAGTCTTAAATGAAAGCTACATATGTAATACTGAGGTCAAAAGCCATAGAAAGAGTGTAGAACGGAATTAAAAGTAACAACCATGAACAACAACACAAATGTGAAAAAAAATGAATAATAGGAACTTGAAGTATGATACTCGGTTTATCTAATTATTTAATGTTACATACACCAATGTTTTTAATTGAATTTAATTTATTTTCTTCTTCGACATACTAATCAAATTACACTTTAGCGATAAAACATAATAAAAATATAACAGTTTTTGGGGGGTGTATGATTAAAACCAAAAAAAAGAGGCAATTATCATGCTTGTGCTGTTTTTAAGAAAGGCCCCATTAATGTCGTTACTTTTACGTTTTAAGCTTAACAATAGCCAAGCCTGAAAAGGTTTTCAACAGTTTTCATACATTAAAGACAAAAACGTTATTTGCATTAAAATGCGCTTTCCTGATATAGATTAAGAATATACAGAAAAAAGAATTGATAACTTAAAGCCCCAAACAAAAGCATTTTTGCATGAATATCTTCGATATACATATTTCAATATAGTCTGATGGATGTATACATTTCCAAATTAGTTAAAGGATAGAGTAACACAAATGTGATGTATTTCTAGTATGAAAACAGTACTGTCCGACGTGCAGTTTGTCGTTTTTCACAAGTCCGACTGAATCTGCATGCCGATAGAATCAAAAGTGTGAAATACGAAGTCCACGCATTCGCATATTTACTTAAAGGGAGTTACTTTGAAGATACAAAATAATATTTGTTTATCATTCCTTGACAGAAAACGGGTAAGATTACGAGTCAAATAATCCCTTTTTTAGTCTCCTTTCTTTGATGTTTGATGTTTGAATAATGGAATTTTTCATATGTTATTTGTAGAATAAATATTAGCTTTGGTGGGCCTTTCTTCAGTTGTAGATGTTCCCAATATCATGAATCTTAAGAGTTCGTCACATACCTGTTTTAATCAGACATTACTTGAATTAGTGATAGATGATTTTACATCAATTACTTAATGATTGCTTTAACCCTGACAATAAAAGGGTTCACGTTTATTTACATCAAGAGCTCTCGCTTTAAACCTGATTTAAATATCTACGCCTTTTTGACTATGAGCGCGTTTATCTAGGCTTGCCACTAGATATTTACATATCGTACCCCACTATCGAACCCCACTATTGTACCCCACTATACGATCGTGATTTGCGGGATGTCGCGTTTATCGACCCTTCACGATTCAAAATAAAGGCCTTGTGTCTGCCCAGCTGTTTTGACCCGGGAAGCAGACAGTTTCTCGGAGGTCAACTTCACACGTATGCTTGTACACAACACCTGGGTGGTCATATTTGTATGTGAGGTTCAAAACAGCTTTGCGTTTATCGATCTCTCAGAAACGTGATTCTGGCTGTATGTCACATTCAAAACGCGCCTTTTTGCGTCTTTAGATATGCCCATATCTAAAGACGTTTGAAAAAGGCTTTGCGTTTATCTACTTCTAAATTTGCCTGAAAGACGTTTGAGAAACCTGATTCTAGCCAAAAATTTGCTAGATAAACGCAACCTTCCACAAACCATTATGATGCCTCATTTGTTGCCATCTATAAAGATTTGTTGAAGAGTGACTCGTTTTCAGAATCCCCTAGCATTCTTGAAACATATTTTATATTTTGTTTCCGTAAAAGAGTTATTTATGTATCTATAAATGTTTCTATGTATGTATA